TCTCGACTTCATTGAGAAGAAACAGGGGATGACCCAGAACCGTGGCATGAACGAGAAGATCACGGACACCGCCCGTGAGGGGTACGAGAAAGTTACCGGGTGCGTATTTTCTCTGCTTCATATTGTTGAGCTGTATGCTGATTTGATATGTAGCAATGCTGTGTCGTCGAAGATCTCCAATTGAACTAGAATTGAACCCACGGACAGTCGTTGTAGCAGCAGCAGTGTACTATAGATGTAATTCGAGCAATTTCTATTCAACATCTTGTTCTGGGAACACTGCCGTAGCCGGCAAAGGCAGTGTGTGGTTTTGTGACAGCGGAGTGAGGGGTGATGATTGATCGGACCCTTCTCCTTCTCCCACTATCACTCGGCTCTTCGTCGACTGCAGGTGCCCTGCCTGCGGTCAGACATCAAGCACCAACGAAACCGAATTCCTTTTCTTCTCTGCGACATGCTTCTTCCCCGCCTTCAATCGAGCTCGCTGCCCGGCCCCTATATTCCCCCTTTCCAGCACATTCCAGGACATCTCGTATCCACCTCTGCTCACGACGGGATAGGAAAACCTCAGCTGAGTCCTCGAACCAATGTCCCAGCTTACTTTGACAGCACTCTTCTCTCTCGTCGCTCGCTTACGCAGATTCCGGCCGAGTAACACCAATTTCTGTATTGCACAACCATGGTGTGTTCACACTGACTTTAAGCCTCTGTGCCCAGTTATTGACCAACCCACGACTCCCGCCGGGTTTACATGCCCATTTACGGATCACTCGCGATTCACGACGGATTCCCTGCCCAATCACGAGCTATTGCCGACTATTCACGATTCACGACGGGTCCCATACCCGTTACCAGTCACGATTCACAAGGCCTAGCCCTGCGAATACCGATTAATGATTCGCCACGGGTTTCCGTGCCCACGATTCACGATTCACGATTCACGATTCACGATTCACGATTCACGATTCACGATTCACGATTTCACGATTCTGGATTCACGATTTCAAGATTTCACGATTTCACAATTCATGATTCACGCTTCACGACGGGTCTCTGTACCCTTTGCGTTCACGATTCACGAGGCCCTGCCCAATTTCACGATTTCACGATTCATGATTCACGATTCACGATGGGTCTCTGTACCCTTTCCTGTTCACGATTCACGAGGCCTTGCCCATCACCGTTCACGATTCACGATGGGTCTCCGTACCCTTTCCTGTTCACGATTAACGAGGCTCTGCCCATAACCGTTCACGAGATTCACGATTGGTCTCCGTATCCTTTTCACGAGCCACGAGGGTGATGGACCCCCTGTCAATTGCCTCCTATTCATGGTTCACGACGGGTCCCCGTACCCATTACCGTTCACGATGCACTTTGGCCTTGAACGTTCACGATCGTCAATTCACGTTTCCCGTCACCAATAGAATATCCCGCTTATTCAATTCTTCGCACATCAACAGTTCAATTTTTGTGTACGGTCTTGTTTGTTTCCCCCTTCTTGCGTTGCGTCACCCAATTGCCTCAGAGCTTTCATGCTTCATTATCCACGAACCACGCCGGGTGAGGCTTCTCATTTATTGACAGTCTGTCTCCATCGGCATGGTCCGACTCCGACAACCATTAACCGTTCTTTAACGAGATGGTGCGTAAGCTGTGCTTTTACTCCATATAGTTCCATCTCCATTCTACGCCCTCTGCTCTCGCCCTTGAACAACAGGCTCATTTACTCCTTCTGGAGTGGTGCGCGGGGGCTTGATGGGGTCTCTGCGTCCTTGCTTCTCTGTAATTGCGGCCTGCGCAAATGTTGCCGAATGTCTACGCAATGGACCGAGAATTTCAACCATGGCAATATTGTCCACTCTTCCCTTGTTAGCTAAACATGTGGCATGAGATCCCGATGCATCGCACAGACACAGCCCAATGTCGAAGACGATCAGCCCAGTGTTCTAAAAGGGTATCAGTACGCCTGACCTCTTCGCAGTTCATCGCAGCATATCTGAGCTACGGCGCAGCCAGGTTTGTCCGAAGATATTCCACTATAAATGGTCTGCCCACCCGACAGCTCCGCACTTCCTCTTCTTCCAACCTCCTCGCAGAAAATGTGAATCTCGATAACCCTGGTCCCTTGCAACGCCAATTCTTGCACTTCTTATCTCTGCTGGCAGGCTCCACGACCTGAATTTTGTTACGCAACGTTGCCCGAATTAAATCGCTTTGCCATTTTCTGGAATCTGAAACCGCTGCTGCGTGTCAATTGCTGGAAGCCCGGATCCAACGCTATATCAATTTTCTGACCCTTTGCTGGCGCTGTAAATACAACAGGAATATTTGTCTCTTGCCCTGGCTGGTTGGACGTGGGATTCATGGTACGTCAATCGGCAACGTTCTGGAGCTCTCGGATTTGCTGCATAATTTCTGAATTCAAACCCGTGTCTTTATACCTTGCAAAGTTGAGATGCCGCATCGTTTTGTAAAGCCTGCCGGAGCGAAGCGAGGCTCGTCTTGTTCTTGTCAAATCTCATGTCCCGTACCGAGTACGGCTTCATGTTTGTTCAGACCCACTCTGCCGTTTACGATCTGCATCGAAGAAAATTCCTTTCCCATGCCGTGCCAGGTATTCAACATTCATTTATTCACATTACAATTCACCCATTTCGAGGCCAGCCGGCCATCCGGCCGTTCATAAGTCATGCCATAGTCCTCTTTATCGCATGGAAACGTCTTCCACACCCATCCGTTCACGCTGCCCAATTCCGTTCATTTCGAGAGCTGATCTGCCATCCACAATTGTATCGCTCATATTCGCATTCTCGTATCCACGACGTCGTTTCCACCGAACCCATTCTGGTGTTCGTGATGCACAACTTGCGCACAAGTCAGATTCGATTCTCTCGTGCCCCCCTAACCGATCGCGCACGCATTTGAACACGCAGAACTGCTGTCTGTACCACACTCCTGATACATACCGAGCCCATACGTGCCAAACCTTGCTGAAACGAGCATGTCCTCAAACTTCCAGATTTATGGCTCGATATTTACGCTCATCAGTTCAAGATCATGCTCACTTTCCATGAGTTCTACTGTACCAGGCCGTCTATCTGTCAACATAATCTCACATCGCTCGGCGTGACGTACGTTCGCCACACATCAGCACCGTCTACCGGACTGTCCGTTTCAATCTATCGATTTCGAATAATTCTTCCGGAACAAGTGCATACTCAATATCCGAGCTCCCACACTCAGCTAGCTTGGTTCCTAATGCTGTAACGAATAACTCTTGGCAAGCAAGCGAATCGTCGCACTTCGTAGTTCACGAGCTCGCGTTCCAGCTCAACTGCATTCTCTCCAATTTACAGTCCTCTTAGCTGATGTATCTAACGGTTGGATACAATTTGCGTGACCCCTGAGCTTCTCAGATCTCACAATTCGGCGAACTTTGAGTAGATTGACATCGCGCCAACATCGCGCAGGAATATCTTGCATTCAATCGCCAGATCCCCCTTCTCGAAACTACTTGCTATTTGTCTGCCTGTTATCAAGCCTCGAGAGACGGTTCAAGATCCTCCAAAGCCCAAGTAGAGCTTCACATCCATCCCCTCAGCAGCCCGACTTTCTGCTTTTCACATGCAACAGTTTCAGTCTCGTCTGTCCCGAAACATTCTGGATTTCCCTATGGGCCTCCGCATGCCCGCCAATCTCCTCTCGTTTCAGGCATCTGTCAGATCTGCATGTACCAAATCACACCAGAGAACCTCAGCTACTCAATTGTACAGTCTCCATCTGGCAGTTACAGGGCTTCATCTCGCAGTCCTCGACTCCGCACCCCCAAAATAGCTGGGTCTATCCCGACGTGGCTTTTCTACTATCGTATTCATTGTCCAGCGAAGGCGGTCGTCAGCTCCTCCTGTGTTTTGAAAACTTACCCCGCTTCTCATTCAAGAGACAACCCGAACCGTGGGAAACCATCTCACTCACATATCATGCATCAACACGGCCTGTTGTCTTTCCAGATTCATGGCCCGCAACGAGTCTAATTCTCGCTCTCTTGCTTTTCATTGCTAGCGGTCGACGCTGTTATCAATACCCAACATCGATTCGGCCTTGCGAAGCTTCACACATAATTTTCCCCTGGTCCCTCAATTTTCGATGTGTCTAAATCACGGTCCACATATGCATCATTCACACCCGTACTGGCGAAACAGCAGAATTCGCTCTTCCCATTACCACATTGACCACATTCCAACATCCATTGCTATTGTGGAGCAATTATATCGTCCCAAACAAAGCTTCATTCAATCGAGTCTGGACTTTTGATCTCATTGCTCCGTATGATTACCTTAAACGATCATGAAGCCGCCTTTGTGTTTTTGGGTTAGCCGTGGGCCTTTGGGTGCCCTCGTCTGGGCGTCTCTTTTTGGGTTCTTCCTTGGGCACCCATCGCCCCACGACCTGGGCGCTAGCGGTTCGGCTCCACCGCCGCCGGCTGTTCCCCACACCCAACAAAATACGGCTTTCTCTGTCCGATGATTTGGAGCGAACAAGTATGGAACAAAATGGGAACACTGCCGTAGCCGGCAAAGGCAGTGTGTGGTTTTGTGACAGCGGAGTGAGGGGTGATGATTGATCGGACCCTTCTCCTTCTCCCACTATCACTCGGCTCTTCGTCGACTGCAGGTGCCCTGCCTGCGGTCAGACATCAAGCACCAACGAAACCGAATTTCTTTTCCCCACCCACCCGCGCCTCACATTCAGTCCTATTTACAACCAGAGACAGCCGTAGAGTGAGGCTTTGGGGGTTCTTCCTTGGGCACCCATCGCCCCACGACCTGGGCGCTAGCGGTTCGGCTCCACCGCCGCCGGCTGTTCCCCACACCCAACAAAATACGGCTTTCTCTGTCCGATGATTTGGAGCGAACAAGTATGGAACAAAATCGCACGTCGCGCTGCGCATAGCCCTGCCCACGGAAGAGAAAAAAAGAACCGTTACGAGACACTGACGCACCAGCGGGGAATCGAACCCCGTCTCGTCGAGATAATGGTTGCTTTCCATCGAATGGGCCGACGCGTGCTCCATACACAACTGGTGCTCCGAGCCCCTGTCGAGTTTCGACCTTGCAATAGGTGGCTAGTGTTGTGTTGAGTTGTGAACACGGGGGACCAATGTCAGTGGTGGAACTCGTGATGACCGTTCACCTATCCGTGCCTGAGATTTAGTTGCTGCGCCTCCGCACATCCTCAAAGTCAACTTTTAAAAATATTATAGACCTTGTAGAAGCTGTATGCACCAGTGGGGAATCGAACCCCGCCTCGTCGAGATATTGGACGCTTTCCACTGAAATTCGAATGGGCCGACGCGTGTTCCATACACAACTGGTGCTCCCTGTTTGTCTTTCGCTTCACCCCAGGTACCGTACGCACAATGCAGAAATGCAGATTGAATTCCCGACTCGGAACGAATGTATATACCGTTTATTCCTATTCCATCTTGACGGGGTGTTGATGATGTGTGGTTTGCATTCAGGTCGTGAGGCCAAAATAAACCCCAAAATCAAGCAACAGAAAAAATGCGCAGCTTACGGGGCCAACCAGTGGGGGATCGAACCCCGTGTCATCCGGATATAGCTTGCAATGCGTTTAATGCGCAGACGCGTGTTCCATACACAACTGGTGCTCTAAGCAAACTTGTAAGTAAAGGGTACAGTGTCTGCAGCGCACGGTACGCACATCATGATCTAGTGCAATCTAATTGTTCCACAGGAGATCCCCGTTCGACGCGGGACAGGCGTATACAAGGGATACGGAGCGCTTTTTTTCCTTCTAAATTAGTGCAGTGAATGGGGTCTTCGTGAGCGATTCGTATCCTGGGTATCCGCCCGGAGTACTAGGTGGAGGATTATTTGAGCCTACGGACCCCCCGGAATTTCAGAGAAAGACCCCGTCCCGTCTCGAGCCTCCAGACGAAAAGCTGGTATGACCGTAAGAAAAAGAGGACATTAGAAGTTGATGCCATGGGGAGGAATCGAACCTCGATCCCTCGTGAACCAATCGGAATCTAAGTCCTCTACTAGATATGGAGGTCGACCGCCGCGGTCCACAATGGCTTAAAGTTATTGTAGCTGCGCGGGTGGATAAGAGAGAAGATGGATAGCATGAATCCGGGGAAAAAAAGAGTAACATGCCACTGTCGGGACGAGTTGAATGTCCGTCTTCCTTTCACCTGGAAATGATATGCAGTGAGAGGGACCTCCGTGGTAAACTACGGCCTCAGTTTGCTATGGCCACGAGTAAATAGCGTGAGCGATTCAAAAAATATTCCCGATGCCTTCGGAAGGAGTCGAACCTCCGGCTCCCTGAGTCGTAGATGGTCATGGATGGCGCCCCATTATCTGGAGAGGGTGACCCCCATGGTCAACGACGGCTTGCGTTTATTGTAGCTGCAGGATAATGAGTGAGAGAGTTATCAGGGCGACGGATTAAAGAAATGTACTGAGTCGAACCTCTGTCGCCTAAACTTCTTTGCAGTGTTCAATGATTCCCATCATGTAAAAAGAGTGACGGTCGACCACCGCGCCCAACGCTGCTGGTGTGGGTGATATGCCAAACAGGGCAGAGTGAATTCGGAGAATGGACTTTGGCTTCAGATGTCAAGGTTGAAATGAGTTGAAACGGGCGCGCTATTTGGCTCGGCTTGTCACGGCCTGACGCGTGCTCAGCTCACGTGACTGCGTTGACAGTCACCATCGGGTCACACTCCCTTTTTGTTTCCTGCCTTATCTGCTCCCAATCGCATCCTCTCAGGTTCTGCTTGCACCTGCGCGTTGACCGATGCTACTCCATGGCTAGACAAGCAACGACCTAGCCACAAGACCTCGGCAGTCCGACTCGCCAATTCAAGACTCCAAGTCCCGCAAACCTGACTCGCTTGTGACTCGCCCAACTTGCAGCCTCCTGCGCAAACCAGAACATCCTTCTCGTATATTTCGATACGAAGAGTGACTCATATCTCTCACGCCACGTTTACTGTGAGCGCAAAAACGCTTTACTCTGCTTTCACATTTCGAGGCTACAGTCGCTGCCTCTCGTCGTGTCCAGAGTAGTGATGTTCTGGCTTTGGCTTCAGGCCAAAAAGCCATGGCTTTTTGGCTTTGGTACCAGGGCCAAAGCCAAGCCAAGATCCTGGCCTGGCGTGGCTTTTGGCCTGGCTCGGACATCTTTCAGGCCAAAGCCGGGCCAAAAAGCCATGGCTTTTGGACCCCCGTCTGAACATCGTAGATTAGTAAACAAAATATCCAAACTTCACTGAGATTCCACTCGCATGGATACTGCAGGAGCCACCGTGGTTTCTGAAAGGGCTAGAATCGTCTCAGGGATCCTATCCTCGCACAAATTATGAGTCAGAGCTCGAATTTGCATATCAATTATTTTCGGCAACACGTCATTCTGCTTTTTTCGACAAGATACATGTGCGGTTGGCATTAGACAGATTTAACAGCGCTTCTTTAGCCTCTCAAGACCCTATTTGGATGATACATACGTTGGTTCAGTCGCGGTCCGGATTCGGCCGAAAAGCCACGGCTCAGGCCAAAGCCAGGTGTAGGGGAGAGGCGAAGGTTGACTAAGCAATCTCCTCACAAGAAGACTTGACTCAAGTCCAACAGAACACGAATAAACTCTGTTGGGGTGAAAGCAAATCCTACAGGTAGTTACTACGCTAGCTACCTAAATACTGGGGACGCGTAAGCGTCTGAGGGACGCGTCAGCGTCCATGTGGAAAAGCACATGTGCGTCGGGATCAGATCCGACAGCCCGAAACCCTACATACGCCCTCCCGGGGTATCGAAGAGACCACGACTCTAAGAAAATAAGTAGAAGATAAAGAAGCAAACCAAAGAAAGAAAATGAAATAATGAAACTTTTCTTCGCAAAATCCGACGCGTCGTCGCATTAAGGCTTGCCGCCCTGAGCGCCGTTGGCCACATCTGGCTCGCCTTCGGCGTCCTCGTCCTCACTCTCTTCGTTGGCGCCCTTCCTCTCGCGCCAAGCACGATTGTCGGTATTTACTATTGCCGGCCGATCCACCTGCAGCGCGATCCTTGCCCTTCGCAGCGCCCGCCTTGGCCGCTTTCCCAGCGCCCGAAGTACCCGCCGTCGAACCCAGCGCCAAGTCCTTCATGCGCTCAAGCTCGTGGGTGCCTCTGACGCGCTCGAGGAACTTGTCAGCCTCGTCCGGATGCTCCCTGAGGAACGCCGCAATGGTGTCCATCTTGTCGTCGTGGCGATCACGATCATCGCGCTCCGAGCGGCCGCGTTTGTTGTTCGCGTTGACCTCGGGTTCGTACTCGTCGTCCGAGTAGTCGCGGCGGTCGCGCCTGTATCCATCGTCCCAGTCATCACGGCGCCCGCGTTGGTGATGAAGACCAAAGTCCTCGACGCTGCGCGCAAAGCGATAGTTGTCCCGCTCAGGACTCCAGTGGTCATCTCGGCGGCCGTTGTTGCGCCAGTGAGGGCCATTCCAGGGCCTTCCACGGCCACGGCCACGACCGCGGCCGCCCCGACGATGGTTTATAACCGTCGAGATGGCCTCCTTCGCGACGTTCACGAATTCCTTGGCGGTGTGCTCCATGAAAGCCTTTTCGACGCTGGCCGGGGCCACGACAGGCGTAGCCGTAGGTGCTTTGTAGTCCGGAGTAAATGGAAGGCTGTCCTGCACTCCCATGTCGCGCTCCGACTGGACGAAATCGTTGTAGCCGAATGGCATCTTCATTGGGGCCTTGTCGTCCGAGGTGTCGATGAGCCAGACACCATACGCGCGGTAAAGCGTGATGACTTCAGCGGGAAAATGGTGAGTTTCGACGTCGGTAGATTGAGCCATTAGCGAATTGGGTAGTTCGACAATGTCGGTCGCCCCACATTCGAGCTCATTATATACCACCGCTGAGCTGACTGATACCTGCGGATCATCTGGAAGTTTTCCCGAACCCGCAGGCAAATTTGAAATTGTTCGCGCACCATATGCCTCGAGGTACGCGGTCAGAGATCCAAGATGAGACAATTCGTTGTATGGGAACCATGCGGTATCGCCGCTTTTCCATTTTACTTCAAACATTGCAGCCGTGCCTTTCCCCGAGTGGGTCAGAATTTTGTCGACTTCCCATTCTTCGGTGCGTTCTCCGATACCGGTGATCTGTGGTATCTGGCGACCAGGGAACCTACGGTCGTCGTTCGGGTAATGAATCCGCAGGAGGGACGCGTGAAACGCAGGGTGTATACCTCTGCTCTTCAATTCCGAAGGTAGCTCAAGTTTGAAAGTCGAATTGCCGTAGTCTTCAATAATCTTGTACGGACCGACATATTTCGGCGAGAGCTTGCGAGATCTGTTCTTCGGGATCTTCAAGTTCTTCGTAGACAAGTAAACCAAGTCGTCCTTCGAGAAAGGAACCGGTTTCCTGTGCTTGTTCGCTTGCCGGATCTGTTTGACGCGCGCATGAATAATTGCGTCGTGAGCGGCCATGATGGCCTCCTTCATCCGCTGTGCGAAAACCCGAACCCCTGGATACTCAGATTTAGCATCCCAGATCATCGGTGCCGGCGTGCGCCCGGTGTTCAGGAAGAATGGGCTGTAACCAGTGGTTTCGGAGCGCGCCGAGTTCATTGCGAACTCTATCCCGGGCAGCTTCGTAACCCAATCCTTCTGGTTCGGTGCGATGCAAGACCGAAGCATCTGCACCATAGTCCGGTTAGCCCGTTCGGTTGCGCCGTCGGTCTGAGGATGAAACGATGAGGACATCTTCAATTCGGTTCCGATTAGCGCGTGAATCCTGTCCCAGAAAATGCTAGTGAAAAGTGAATCTCGGTCACTCACGATTGCGCGAGGCAATCCGTGCTTCGAATACACATGCTCAAAGATGAGTTCTGCGATGTCCTTTGCGCGGTACGTCTGCTTCGTTGGTACCAAGTGAACCATGCCCGAAAAATGGCATATAATCACCATGATCATGTCAAAGGTACCGAGACGGTTCTTGGACTCTGTTAATGGACCGACGAAGTCAATCCCGATAGTCTCCCAAGGCCGTGAAGGAATTGGAAG